TATGGGAAAGAAGGATTGACCACAGTGTGCTCCGTACTACCACTGTATATATATCTAAAGTTGTAACGACGTAGGTAAGTAGGAATGTCTGATTAGGGGTCCGATACGACTCAAAGGCATATGCGAGTGCGCGTCTGTATGGAGATTGAACGATTGATTCCTACACCTATAGTCTCGTACAAAAGGACAAGAAAAACTTGCCTATCTATCTAAGAGCATAAGGCTCCTTTTATATTACGGAGGCAGAGGGTAAGGCAAAGAAACCTCGGGCCCGAATCGGGGCTGTATTAGCTGTGAGGCCGCCTTGGCTGTGCTGGTCTAAGATAGAACGAGGGTTGCACTCGTTACAGGAGTAAGAAAACTAGAATAGTTAGTAGGAAGCTAGGTATTACTACGTAATACTAGTAAATTAATAGACGTAGAAATAAAGGTAGTTTACCAAGGTAGAGTACCTTCTACTATTAACCCTATTTATATTGACTTCTTCTACTTAAACTACTTTGTAGTCTACTTTAGATAATTATAATTTATAGCTTAAGTAAACCAGTTGTGAACCGTAGTGTATAACAAAGAACATACATTGCAACCAAATGGCTATAAAGCGCCACCCTTAAATTATTCATCGTAGATTGTCAACTAATAGCCATCTATAACGACACCTTAGATATTGTAATTCCTTTTTTAGGTATGAAAGTGTTAATCCATTTATATGCACGCATCTGGTGTTCGATCACGCTTCTGCCAAGTTCTTTATTAGATCAAATACAATGCTTGGGCAATCATGAAATTGCCTCAGAAGTTCTCTATTAACTACAGCCAATCGTTTGCTGGTAACCCTTCCAATGGATCTTCAACGGACACTATTGAGTCTTGGCTTGCGAACGATGTCACTCTGGTTGTACCTACCGACGCGTTGTCGATTTTAGCTAATGTTACTCCATTAATTGGCCGATGTAAAGTCTAGCAGTACACATCAGCAGTCCAGAACAGTTCGAAATCTCTCGGCTCTCAAAAACAGGATGCTCTCCAATGCCTCTCTCCTTTCCGCCAAGCCGCTACATATGATGACCCCGAGGTGGCTCCGTATGGGCAATTCAGCATGATTAAAACTGCAGATCTGGATTGTGCTGGGACACGAGCATTGGAAATGGGCT